GTGTGTGTGTGTGTGTGTGTGTGTGTGTGTGTGTGTGTGTGTGTGCGCATACGTATATGTTCTTTACAAATATACATGATGCAATGTGCTGTAGCTGACAGATGAGATGTTATGATTTAGAATGTTTGACCTAAGGTTAGACAAATCAAATCTTGACAAGATGAGGGGAGCAGCTTTGTATGAGTCTTTCTTTGTTCACCTTGATGTTGTGCAGGTGCTGGCCAGGGAGTATCCACTCAAACATTGTGTTTGTCCTGAACACGCTCCTCCTTGTGTAGACATCAGTTTATAATGATGAAATGCATCTAGTCTAATCCCATTATTCAAACACAAAGTCTGAAGACTAAGTCAACCTTTACTGCAAAGTAGCGTTCCTTTCTTAATGACTAATTACTTAGATTTGGCAGGGAAATGATAAGGGCAATTTTCGCCAACTCGGGGTCCTTCTTGAGGGTATATTTAAATGTTAATATTAACTAGCAAGGACCACCATAGCAAGGATACCATCAGTTGGAAGCTTAATTATTTTTTGGTTCTAAATGAGCATTATATTGGTGATGACTGGGTTGAGCTGTTGCAGTGTGGGAAAAAGCTTAGCTATTAACCAGCAGCAGCTCCAGGGCCAGACCCCCAATAAGTCTCCTACAAAAATGAAATGAAAAGTGGGCGTAAAGTAGGTCTTTAGGGTCAGCGTGGATGACGAGCTAATACACTTAAGGCCCATGGCCTTGATTGTGTGGTGCGGAACATCTCCGCTGGAAGCTGTGTTCATATGGAAGGAGTTGTCTGAGAACATGCAAGGATTCCAGATTTTGATGGGACTTGTTCAAAGTGAAAGAGGAATCAAAACCTAATGATATGAAACTTAAAAGGAGGAAATTTAACAGAACAGAAATTGTGTAACAAGAAGAAGGTATCTTTGTTGAAGATGAGCTGCTGTGTTAGAGGTAAGCTGAGTATAAGAATGATAGATGCCTGTTTCTCCAAGATGGAGGGCTATGTAGAGAACCAGAGTCAGGTAGTTGTTGAACTCTTGTACAACAAGCTGGCAGCCTGGTGCCAGTAGAGAAAGAAAAAGAGAAAGGTTGCTGATGATGAGGGATGGAGAAGAGGGACTAGCAACCTGGTGCTGATATCAAGAGAGAGACAGAGAGACAGAGAGGTTGCCGGTAAGAAGGGATGAAAGTCAGAGGAGCTGGCAACCTGGTGCCAGACAAGGGAGGAAAAGGTCGTTAGGAAGAAGGGATGGAAGAAGAAGGAACTATCAGCCCAATGCCAGACAAGGGAAGAAAAAGTTGTTATGAGAATGGGATGAATGAAAGACGCCAGAGCTGGCAGCTCAGTGCCAGAGGAGGAAGAAAAGGGTTGTTGGGAAGGTTCAAGAGACAAAAGATGAGTTGGTATCCCATCGCCAGAAATGTCTGTAGTGTTGGAGCTGGAAACAGGTTGCTGTGGGAAATGGTGGATAGGATGAATCATACCTGACAACCTGGGAGGAGCAACAGAGCGTGTGGTGATGTCATGTTTGGGCACAGTTGAGGTGTCTGCCAGGGAGAGGATTGTTGTGGTTTATCATGTGCTGAAAATTCTGTGGGTTTGTCAGAAGTTGAAATAGCTTAACTTTGTTGTCAGCACAGTAGCTATGGAGTAAGAAAGCTATCAAAAAGATATGTGCATGATTTTAACAATTCGTATTTATAACGTTAAACATTTGTATGTCAATAAAATTGTTGTACACAAAATTCTGCTGTCATATACATGAGTCTGACAAATTGTGAGTGCAAAGTCTTGTGAATACCACTCTAATTTCTACAACTACGAAGTCTTCTTTCTGAAAATGAATTCAAGTTTGTGGGTACAAGTAGGAAAGTGTTGAAATGACGTCACGTAGGTCACAGACAGATCACAGGGAGAAGTAATCAAACCTCGATTTCTCCAATCACGCATGCGTCAAAGCCAAAAATGGCTGACAGCAGTGGACCGGGAGCTGCCCGCTCAGGTGAAGCATCACAGGTAAAGTCAACAATGTGTATATCCAATATTTATTTCATAAAATTGTACTTTTTTAAACAATAAACAGTTCATGGACTTACACACTTACTCCTTTAGTTTGCAAGCTAACGACATGCCGGTGACTCTAGCATTACTAGCATCAGAAGTTGGCTTGTGCTAGTTAATTAGCATTGAATTGCGAAATATGAAATAATTAATTTGCGACATAATGTTGAACAAACAGAAATAACAGACTATAAGATGGAGCGATTGGCAACATTCAATAGAGCCTTATAACAATTATTATTATTTGCCTGCAGTCAGTTGCTTGAGATTAGGCGCACAAGTGTGGTTTGCATGGGTCCGGACTGGCTTGCTGTTTGGTGTGGATGCTGACCTAAGCTCAGACTTCAAGTTAAGAAGAAGTTAGTTTGCAGGCACTCTGTACAATCGTGAAAATTAGCCATGTCTATAACATTTGCTAGTCAATTTTGTCCTTTTTCTCACTCAGGTCCAATAAAGAGACATCATCAACACAGCTCAAAATCTGGTGCAGACGGTAAGTAACAGCATATCAACGAATGTCAGGCCAGTCAGACAGGAAAATACAGGAGAAGCTGCTGTCGGACAGGGAGCACAGTCAGTTCCAACAGTGAGGTCTCAGCAGGCAGTGCAACAACTTATAAGATCTCAGAGCAATGGCCCTGAACTGTCAGTGAAACAAGAAATAGCACAGTAGGGTACATGGGTCATGTATTGCACTCTCAGTGCAGGCACATTTGGACAAACTAGGTCCCTGATTTAAGTAGAAGGCAGAGAAACAGCTGCAGATGTTTTAAATTCTATTATTTACCTTAGAATATTTTCTGGATTTCAGACCATCACCATGTGAACTATTGCAAAAAAACAAATTAAACAAATTTACATAAGCTAACATTATCATAGAATGTAGACATCGTCTGAGTAATGTTGTTTTTTGTTGGTGGAACATAAAAGATGAGAATGACAGTGTGCCTTCTTTTTAGGTCCTTTCCAGGATTTTTTCAAAAGGAGGCAAGAGGCAAAAGGTGTTTTGCACCATATAGGACAAAAGAATCTGGGAAGAGGTTTTTGGTGAGCTTTTTTCATCTTGAAAAACAATAGGAAAAAACACCAAAAGGAGAAGAGGAACTGCCACTCATGCTGGCTGGCCTTGGAAAGCGTTCACTAACCATACCTGAAAACATGGCACATTCAGAGGTAAGCTACCATTCACTTACTGCCTTGTCTCAAGTCTATAGAAAAACACCCATCTTAGAATTCATCTTGATGCATGATTTTATTAATATTTGCATGATGAAATACACAGTAGTTCATAAATATGTGTCATTGCATTAAAGCTTTAACTATACTTTTGTCTCTTAAGTTTTCAGAGTTGCTTGTGAGTGCATATCCAAGATTGGCAAATATCTGTGGTGGCTGGATACTGCAGAAGTCCACAGGTATGTAGTTATACACACTGGATAAATGTTGTTCCAAAATACTCGCTATTTGAGTGGTGTTGTATATTCAGGTTTGGTTAGTATCTATAATTTTTCAATTTTAGGTCAGGGTGAGCTTGGTTGTTATTCCTCCAGATATACATGGATACACTGGCCAGCAGCTAAAAGCAGTGAGCGGGAATGGAAAATACACATTGTACATTTCTCCTTTACAAGAAGAACTTGGTACAATTCCATTACCACCAGAAGCAAAGGAAGAAGAAGTGTAACACTAAATTCTCTCTTATCTGTCACAGGACTGTAACCTTTTAAGGCCTCCTGCACTAACAGATTTTTAGACGCCTGCAAGACAGAAGTACAATCCTCAGTATTTTTCCATCGGTATCATAATATAGAAATAGTGGTCACTTGACTTAAAGTAATCTTAGTTACAGTTTAGTAAGAGGAGTAACCCTAAATTATTGTAGCTGCAGTTACTGCATTTATGGTAACATTAAAATGTGTGTATAGCCGCTTATGAGTGTATAGCTGCATATTTCACACTGTTTTTAAAATTTGTTCTGCAAATCTAAGGTTATGTAACCTAAGTCAGTGAGCGTTGTTAATGTCATTAATGTTAACTAACTGTTGAGGTAAACGATAGCTATAACAACGTTTCCTGTAGACTACATTTTATTAATCATAACAGTGTGATCATGTTATGACAGTTTTGCTACCTGTTTGTATTTCCACATTTTGTTCATCATGAGCTGGCAGAGCCCAGCTGATATGAGTGAGATCATGCAACTAAATTAACAATAAAACCTCACTGGTTCTGAATGTGTACTCCCAGTTAAATGAACAGAGTTCAGTATTATGTGAGTGTATGTAAATATTAACATTCTTCGGTTATGTGTCTGTAACATGAACTTTTAGCAGGTCCTGTTAATTTCATTGCTGATGGTAAAAGCATATATTGGAATGATTGTTCCTCTCATTCAGGAAAAAGTAAGTTACTGAGGGCCAGGAACCATAATTGTATGTGCACCTACACTATACCACATAGGTGCATAATAGTTACTCTTTTATTGCAATTTAATTTAAAACAGTCAAGATGTTGTTTGTTTTTTATAGCTATCAAATGGAAGAATGTATCAGCTCATAGCTATGTGGAACTCAGCCCTGCTGTTTGATTTGCCTTTTTTTCTATAGTCTTTAATATACTATTATTCTTACATTGTATATACACTTACAACAGCAGAATTTATATTTATTTTGTGTGATATTTTTATTTTTATTTTCATATTAATACTTTATATTTTATTATATATTTTTACTTCCTACTTCTTTAAGACTTTTGATTGGGAGCATCTGCAACTGAAAGCAATTTCCCCTAGAGGATCAATAAAGTATTTCTGATTCTGATTCTGATATATTAGAATAGAATGGAACAGGATAAACTTCATTATTCAGCCAAGGCATCCATATCAGTTAGTTCACCTGGGATGGTCTGAGATGCAAGAGCCTTCTCCTCTTCTTCGACTAGTCCCTACAAGGAAATGAAGTATTGGATGTTCGCTCAGAGTGCAGGCTTAGTTGTGGTTCTTAGACTTTCCAAAAGTACAATGGGAGGCAAAGACCTTCAGCGATCAGACTCCTCTCCTCTGAGACCACCACCCAGCTTGTGTTCAAGACAGAACCACACTCTCTACTTCTAAGACAAGGGTTAAACCTCTTCTTTCTTTTTGCCATTAATTAATTGGCTTATACATACTCGGACCATACAACATATTATACAGCATATGCAATAAAAAATAAATTTTACAGAAAATTAATTTCAGTTTTGATTTGAAAACAATCAAATTCTTTGTATAGATAATACTTAAAGCCATTTCGTTTTGTTTTTTTTAACAAATTCAATGGAACAAATGTCCCCAACTTTTTTTTAAATGTTGTTCCTACAATTCTCATTTAAATTATCCATTTAAAGTCGTTTTCCAGCAGAGAAAAGAAAAGCCATCTTATGAGCAAAATTAATTTTACTGTCGGTGAACTTAAGCTAACTCCTTATCAATGATATTATAAATCCCAATTTAGTAAACTTCACAGTGCTCCTGCTGAGGATAAGTGAGGACCAGGGGCTGTTTGTTGCCTCCTCTTTCATGCCAGCAGACATCCAGCAGGGGGTAGACTTTCCCCTGGATCTGCAGCCTGAAGTTGTAGATGAAGCCCAGCTCATCTGGACTGTCGCTATTATAGATGGTCAGACCCCCGCCCTCATAGTCCAGGAATAGTCCCACCCGGTGAGGGGGTGTAGACACTGGCAAAACCATCCTGGGTAAAGTGAAGGCTTCATAAACACCATCCTTCAGCCCAATCAACCATACACCATTCTCTGGGCTCTTCACAAGCTTGGCCTTACGATTGGTTGTTCCTTTGATCAAACCAAGACGCCATTTCGCTTTGTTGCCCACCTCCACCTGGACAGTAAGAAGAAGCAGAACTACTGTAGGTATATTATAAACTATAACGCATGTGCAGCTCATCCTTACTTTAACATTTACCTCCCAGTAGTGCTTCCCGGAGGAGAAGCCTCGGTTGGCCAGGACACAGTAGCTGTAGGTAAACCTCTCTGGATTATCAGGCAGCCTTTGAAGCAGAGCCCCACAGACCACCACAGTGTCTCCATGACGAAGCTCTAGCATCGGGTGAGCAGTCTGAGGATCCAGTTTCAACAGCTCTGGTGCTGGATGATGTGAAGAATGTAAGTGTCTTGACGTTCCCACTAGACTCCATTAGAATTCTTTAACAGCTTAGTCTAAACCAACCAGCTGCTGCATAGTATTAATCACCCACCAGGAGTTACAGATTTTTCACTAGCTAGCTAAGTGAGATGTTGAGTTGGACATAAAAAATTGTACCTGGCAGGACTTTTCGATGTAGTTTCTTCCAGACAGTGAGTTTTATGTCGTTTTGGTTGAAACCTGGTTTGAAGTTCAAAGAGCTGAAGATTCTGTTGCCTTTCTGTTGGAGCGCATGACTCTCTTTGAACCTGAACAGGACAGTAAACATTAACCTTTGGAAGTTTCACTTGTATCAGAAAAGGGGTTAACTTAAAATGCATCAAGATATTTGTTACCTCGGAGCAATTGAGCCATACTTCTGTAAACAAAGAAGACATTTATAATGACAACTTTTATCGAGGGTACTGATTTTATTGAAACGTCTTGGGATCAACTTTGTCTAGAATAATTACATGATAAACTGAAAACAGAACAATGAGGCTACAAACACTTGACAGCACCGTGATGAAGTCCAGGTGCCCCTCGTCACTCAGGTCCTGCAGGGTATTCTGGGCTTTCTCTAGACGGTTCAGGTTCTGGTTTAACTGGTCTTTCTGATTCTGCAGAGATGCAATGAGGGCAGTGGCTGACGTTTCCACCTGCTGCATGAACCCCACCTCCTCCTCATCCAGGCAGCGCCGAAGTTCACCAAACTCCTTCCTAATCACCCATTTCATTACGTCTGACTCGTTCTGATTAGACAGAAAGTGAAGATTGACAATCAAGATTGGCTTGCAGCTCAGGTAATAAAATATGTCATATTGACACTCAGAGTCTTAACTGATCTGAGCTCATTATTATATCCATCCGAAACTAGCAGTTAAAAGTATTCAAGCATCCTCCAATTCAGACAATAGGTTTAGTTAAAAGATTAAAAACAATCTTGCAATTCAGTGCGAGACAAGAAATCCTTAAAGTAAAATAGAATTAGTTAGAGAAAACTGTAAATGTAGACAAAACCCACAATGATCCTGGATTTGTTGTATGCCATTTTACAAATCTGATCCTCCAGTATACGCCTTTGATGCTGGAACTCTGTCATCAGACAAGAAATATCCTCCTGTAAGAGACACAGAAGAAATGTGTTATTCCTGTGGAATTACCTCATTAAAGTACAAATTTTAATCCAGGACTGATCAGTGCCCTTTTACAGACCCAGTTTTTATTCTATCCATCTATTTTCAGAAACTTTGGGGGTCAGGTCATGTTGGCTGTAGACACCCACCCCCTAGCTCTTCCTGAAGGATCTTGAGGGCTTCCTCAGTTTCTCTGGAAAAGCTTCATAGGCCAGCACCAGAATCATGCTGATCAGATGTTGAACCAGTTCAGGTAACTCCTTTCAAGCTGAAGGAACAGTTGCCTTCTTCCTGGGTCTTACAGCTCCTCTGCTGTCTCCTAGTCCTGATTCTTTCAGCTGCTTGGACTAATCATCCCATTGTTTTAGTCTCTACCAGAGACCAGGACCATAGCTGAGGACTGGAAAAGAGATCCCCAGCTCAATCCAGAGGTCCTACTTCAGGATTCGTTCTCTCTGAACTACTGCAGTCCAGGTGGTTGTGGCTCAGGTGGTTGAGCAAGGTTGGCAGTTCAAGCCCCCACCCCTCCGCATATTGAAGTGTCTATGGGCAAGACACTGAACCCGAAGTTGTTCCCGATGGCAAGCAAGAATCATGGTGTCTCTGTCACCATTGGTGTGTGTGAATGAGAAACACAATGTAAAGTGCTTTGAGTACCAAAAGGCTGAAAGGCACAGGCGTTTTACTTCAAGTCATCCAACTTTGCCTTCACCTCAAAAGTCAGTCCCTAGTCAACTAAGATAGAGCTTCACCTTTGGTACTACCTCTGGCAGGAACTGTAAACTCTTCTGTTCGTGTCTTTTGTACTGGAAAGTGAATCAATAAGACTTCTGAACAACTAGTGTCGCACAGCATACATTTTTTTTAGTTGTTTGTAAATATTGCTCAACCACCCACAGTTTACAGGAAGTAACAATTTTCTCACAAAAGACAGTTGCTGCCGAAGGTCACATCAGCAATATTTCCAGTGAGTCCTTGAACATAAAAAGCATGTGACCTTGTTGTTAAACTAGAAATAAAAAGATCATATTTGCACACACTTGCTTTGTTTCAATCACATGATGTGAGATAATGGCTACTTATCGCCACTGAGTCAACACAACAAGCTGCTCTGGTTTAACTTTAACCAACAGTCAGAGAACTTGATATGCCTTGAGCTCGAGATCAAACACAATATCTAGATTCAAGATTCAAGGCTCATGTGCCCTCTGTTGCTCAGTTGTGTCGATTGTGTTGAATCGATTCGCCCTGTACAACATCAGGAAGATCAGACCTTTCCTATCTGAACATGCAGCACAACTCCTGGTACAAGCTCTCATAATATCACGCATTGACTACTGCAATTCCTTACTGGCAGGCCTCCCCGCATCCACAGTCAAACCTCTGCAGATGATCCAGAATGCAGCAGCACATCTGGTTTTCATCTAGCCAAAAACAGCACATGTCATCCTGCTGTTTAGATTGCTTCACTGGCTTCCAATTTGCTGTCCGCATCAAATTCAAAAGTCTGACACTTGGTTACAAAACTACAATGAGAACAGCTCCCTCCTACCTTAACTCTTTCATTCAGGTCTGCGCTCCCTCCCAGTCACTACACTCGACCAATAAAACCCGCCTGATATAACCGCTACAACAGGGCCTGAGGCTGATAGCTAGACTCTGTGGTGGAACGAGTTACCAAACTCTGTTCAATCTGCTGACTCCCTCTCAGTCTTTAGGAAAAGACAAAGACTCAGCTTTTCACTGAACGTCTTTGCACTTGACAGACTGAAAACAAACAACAACAACAACATAAAATTAAAGCTGCAAGCAGTGTTGGACAGGCCCTCACACTTCCACGCGTGTCAGACATGACGCACGTCAAGGTGCGGTGCACCTTTGCCATTGTCGGCTATGCTCCAATCTGCCTCAAACTTTACATATTTAATCAGACTGCTGTCCTGATCCCATCCATATGCCAAAATCCATTCACCGTCATAGCGCCACCTATTGGTAACAGGCTGTTTTAGGCATTACACTTACATGTGCCATTGCTCCAAACTTTGTGATATCATCCTTGAAATTGGTCAGCTAAGTCTTCCCACTTTGACGATGCTACAGTGTGAAGCTTTTGCGTTTCCAAGCAACGCCATTGCGCATAGTTACTATGACACGGAAAGGACTTTTTGGACAGCTTTGGAATGCTCATAAACTCACCAAAATTGACATACGAGTCACTCTCGGCTCAACGACAGACAATGTGCCTGTTTGGCAAAATGGCTCTATGAGTGCCCCCTGAAGCAATTCATCTATTAGCCCCCACAGGACGTTTAACCGACGTTTACAAAATTTGGTAGGTATACGTAACACATCAGGATGGACAAAAAAGCCTCTTGGACCCATACCGTGAACTCAACAGGAAGTCCACCATTTTGAATTAACTGTGCAATTTTTTTATGATTTTTGCCATTTTCAAAATCTATCTCCTCCTAGGGCTTAACTCCTACACACCTCAAATTTGGCCAGCACATACAACAGGGCTTGATGATTAAAAGTTATCAAAGCACTCCACAAAAGTCTGAGGGCGTGGCAATGGCATCCCTCTGAATCGTGATGATTCGCCATCACAAAGGAAGCATGTCTAACGACCCTGTACATTCTCCAATCTGCCTCAGACTTTACTTGATACTTGATACTTGATCACAGTCCTGCCCTGATGAAACCCATATGCCAATATCCACTCACAGTCATAGCGCCACCTGCTGGCAATAGGAAAGCATGTGTTTTACACTTTCATGTACATTTGTAACATCTACTACGGCCAACATGTTTCACCTACACCCATGAAATTTGGTGGACATATGCAGCACATCCAGATGAACAAAAAAGCCGCAGGAGCTATTCACCTAAACTCAACAGGAAGTTGGTTTTATTTTTCGTTTCTCCACCCTGAACACACTCCTCTGAGGGGTAAACCACAGAGCGCTGAATTTCAGGTAGCATGTAGAGTACAATTTGAAGGTAAAAATTCTCAAAAGTTCTGCATTTCATTGAAAGGTGTGGTCGTGGCAACTCTCTGATTTTTGATCCTTCACCATCACAAAGGAAGCATGTCTAACGACCCTGTACATGCTCCAATCTACCTCAAACTTTACATACTTGATCACAGTCCTACCCTGATGAAACCCATATGCCAACATGTAGTCACAATCATAGCGCCATCTGCTGGCAAGAAAAAAGAACATGTTTTACACTTTCATGTGCTATGATTAGGGCTGCAAGGTGGCGCAGTTGGTTAGCACTGTTGCCTTGCAGCAAGAAGGTCGCCGGCTCGCGTCCCGGTGGGGGTACCGGGATTCTTTCAGTTTGCATGTTCTCCCCGTGCAGTGTGGGTTCTCTCCGGGTTCTCCGGCTTCCTCCCACAAGTCCAAAAACATGCTGAGGTTAATTGGTAATTCTAAATTGTCCGTAGGTGTGAATGTGAGTGTGCTTGGTTGTCTGTCTCTAAGTGTGGCCCTGCGATAGCCTGGCGAGGACAGGTGTCCAGGGTGTCCCCTGCCTTCGCCCTAAGTCGGCTGGGATAGGCTCCCCCTGATGTGTTACATATGCTTACCAAATTTTGTAGATGTAGGTTAAACATATTGCAGGGGCTAGTAGATAAATTGCTGTAGGGGGCACTATAGAGCCATTTTGCCAAACAGGCACACATTGTCTGTCGTTGAGCCGATAGTGACTCGTATGCCAATTTTGGTGAGTTTATGAGCATTCCAAAGCTGTCCAAAAAGTCTTTTCCGTGTCATAGCAACTATGCGTTGCCATGGCAACGGCGTTGCTTGGAAATGCAAAAGCTTCACGCTGTTTCATCATTAACGTGGGAAGACTTAGCTGACCAATTTCAAGGATGATATCACAAAGTTTGGAGCAATGGCACATGCAAGTGTAATGGTCAAACTGCCTTTTGTTTTGACGGGAGAAGAATAATAATTCCATGCATTACAATCGGGTCCTACACACTGCAGTGCTCCAGCCCTAAATTTAAAAAAAAAAAAAAAAAAAAGTCCTATTACCTCCCACACAGCCTGTTATTGGTATCAACGCCCTAACACACTTGAACTTGTTCTATGGCACTTTTCTAGATTGTTTTTCTCCTGACTAGATACTTACTTGTGTTGTATCCGCTCTCAGATGTACATCACTTTGGCTAAAAGTATCTGCTAAATGAAATTGTAGAATTGAAGATGAAAATTTGAAAAATTATCACATTCCACATTCACAGTTCAGTCTCAGGAAACTTTACCAGCTCCTGTCACTCGGGTGTGCTTGCAGAGCTCTGCTTTAGGCACAAACAATCTCATTGGTTGAGTCCAAACCTTGAAGAACCACAGTCTCCATATAAATAATCCACCCAGCTAGAACCTGTTTCCAGGGTATGCAACTTGACTAATGTGAGTGAAGTGGGACTATTACTGTTGGCCTTTATTTTCTCTTCCACAGAACTTTGTTCAGAACCAGCCTCATTGTGTCTCAACTCATTCCCAAAACACTGTCATGTTTCTGAAATGAAACATGCACAATTTCTAATAAATTTCTAAATATATCCACACACATATGGGACATTTATAATTTCATGCAGCTGTAGATAGAGTTCACAGATGTGACTTTGTTTTGTAAAGTTGTTATACCTTCATGCGGCTGTAGACAGAGCTCACAGGTGTGATTTTGTGTCCGCGGTGAGCACCAATGCTTCCACAAAGGCCACAGATCAAGACCTGTTCAGCCTCGCAGTAAAGGCTCAGAGGATTGTGGTGCTGAGGACAAAAATCTTGTTGATCTCCACCTGAAACACTCACTTCCTGTCAAGATCAACAAAACAGAAGTAAGAATGTTCTCTGAAAATGTTTATTGTCACTGAGTCTCATGTTTGAACTTTTCTAAAACCTGTTTCGATTTGAGTTCTTGTGTTTTAACATAGTTTGACAGGTAAATTGATAACAGGTGTTTTTACCTGCAGTGCTTCAATGATCCGAGCTAAACTGACGTTCGGAGGAGGACTGTCTCCGTCTACAGCACAGCGACACACAGGACACTGCAGCTGACCAAGCTCGTCCACTGTCATGGACCGCACACAACACCTGGACAAATGAGGTGAGGAAAGGACAGAGTGGGACAGAGTACAACAGGGTAGAACAGAACAGGTGAGATCAGGACAGGGGAGGACATGACACATTAGGTGAGGTCAGAACAGGTGCAGGTCAGGTAAAGTCAGGATAAATGAAGACAGGGTAGAACAGGACAAGTAAGGTGAAATCAGGTCCAGTCAGTCAGGTGAAGTCAGGACAGATGAAGACAGGTAGCGTTAGAACACGTGAGTCCAGGACAGTGAAAATCTGGATGCGTTAAGACAAGGCTGGTGAGGTCAGGACAGGAGAGGTCATACCTGCAGTAGGAGTGTCCACACTGTAACATCAGAGGTTCAGTAAAGACATCCAGACAGACGGGACATCTGAGCTGCTCCTCCAGACTCTGACTACGCTCCATATCACTGAGCCTCCAACACAAGGAGTAAAACCACCAGAACAACCAGGACCAGAACCAACAGGAGTAGAGCCAGTAAAATCCCCAAACAAAAACCAACCTTACCAGAGTTCAGCAGTAAAACTGACTATGACATCTTCAGTCAGTTCATCAGTTTGTTTCAAGAGATTCTATTTATAGATGGAGGTGTTTTCTGTTTTATTTGATGTGATTGGATGGAAAGACATATAGGGTGGAGCAAGCAGGTGCTTGACCCTTTATGCTTAAAACATTTTGTGACTTTTAAATGTCACTAGAAAGTAACAACTTAACTTTTCGGACTGCATTTATTATTGTTGTTGTTGTTGTGTTGTGAGTTGTTGTATTATGTATAGATTTATTATTATTATTATTATTATTATTATTGTTGTTGTTGTTGTTGTTGTTGTTGTTGTTGTTGTTGTTGTTGTTGTTGTTGTTATCATCATCATCATCATTGTTATTATTATTATTACTATCTCTTCTGTCACAGTCTTTGCTGTGTTCTTTTTGTCCTAAGCCAAGTGCAAACCACGCACCTAGGGCATCAGTCACTCAAGTCATTAATTCTGTTCATATACTATGGACCTTCCTGAGGATTCGTGCAGATCCCAGCATGTTGATCTTTTGGGTCTCTCTTACTGTAGCTCTCTCTGATACTTTCTTGATGTTTTCTCCCATCCCCTTCTTTATTGTACCAAGCAACAACAACCACAGGGGTCACATTATTATTATTATTATTATCATTATTATTATTATTATTATTATTATTGGAGCATGTGTCCCAGACAGTTTAAATAGTAGTATTTGTTTAAGTTTCTGATCATTTGCTTTAAAGCTGCTGTTGTCTGATAAACTAACATCTGAAAGTCACCTTCACCTTCTGTGTTCACCTTGATGTTGCGCAGGTGCTGGCCAGACCGTAGCCAGTCAAACAGTCCATTGCTGGGTTTGTGTAGGTCTTCGATAATCCTGTTTACCCTGACCACCCTCCTCCTCATGTAAGACGTCTTTGAAGGTGGGAAGCGCTGTGCTATGCAAGCTAGAAAATGATATGTAAATATAATAGACATCATAGACAGGTCACCAGTCTATCGCAGGGCTGCACAGAGAGATAAACGAGCACACTCACATTCACACTGTAGAATCACTAATTAACCTCAGCATGTTGTTGGACTTTGGGAAACAGCCAGAGCAACCAGTGACAACCCACACATGCACACCTCAGCAGTGCCACCGGTTGATTGCACTTATGCCACGCTGCACTGGTGCATTAATTTGTGGTAAAGCATCCTAAATATTCAGAGTAAATGAACATACTTTTCAAAAGTTAGATATTTCTGTATTTAAGTCATTTTTAAAATTGTTTTTAGGAAATATTCTAATAATTTGAGATGTTGGATTTCTGTAGTTTATAAGCTATGAGCCAGAATTTTTAAAAAAATAATAAAAAAATGCAAAAAATATTTTCACTTTCTGAAATAACTGATGGAAAACATTAAACTTTCCTATATTCAAATTTTTTTTAGATGCATTAAGTCTGGCCATTATGTTGACATGCAAAACTAAATATTGGCTTTCTTCAGGATAAGTACCAAAGTTCGTTAAACACCAGGAACATTTTTCTTCTGTGATGAATGACAGAATGCTATTTGTGATCACAGTTTGAGGATGTTGTTTCATGAAGTCAAAATAAAACTAAAAAGCAAAAATTCCATTTAGGAACACTGTTTTGAACAGCAGGCGGTGCTGTGAATTACTTGCACAATTACGTCATTCGGGGGTGTCAGATGACAAAGCAGGAAAAGGAAGACAAGACCTCCCGAGACCGACAGCGATTGAAGAAGAATCTTGCTGCCAAATTTTAATCTGAAAAAATCAACGCGAAGGAAGGTAAGCGGTGATAAAACAACAACAACAACAACACGTCCTAATAGACAAACACACTGTAAACAGGCTAACAGGTTACTGATTGTAAATAATCACGGAGCAAGATGGAGGTCGGCAGGAAACATCGATATTAGTCTGACATATAGTTAAAACTCGCTTAAAAGAAACAGTCTGGCATATAGTTCATGTAAAGCTGCTACAGTGAATTCAATTTTGAACGGTTTTTCGGTTAAAAGGCAGGGTCAATGACGCATTAGGGCAGAATTACAACAGAATTTTTTTTTAAAAACGGAGTTTGGGAAAGAAAGGAAACATCTGTTGGCTTAATGTAAGAAATGTGTGTTATGAGAACACCGATGTGGACGGACATTTAAAACTTAACTATTGCTTTCATATTACTATTTATTTCCTTCAAATACCTCCTAAGTACTAATAGTATATTGAGGGTTTCTTTTGAGAATGGGGGATGAGAGAAATACATGATTCATATCTTCACTGGCCTGCTACTTTCTGATGGTAAACAGATGCTGTATCGGTCATGGTTTGATTAATGATTGGTTTGTCTCACAGTATGGAGGATGATGAACTTCCGTCAGAGGATGGGATGGGTGGGCATGGCTCTCTACCTGCTGCTCAGCATCTTGGCGACATACTACATCTTTGAAGTTCACAGTTTCAGTTTGGAGCCTGTGCAGAGAGGTGATATCAGCCCGTCGGCTCTACCCCCTGCTGTCACTGCACGTCTGCCATTACTACCTGTGTGGATGTTGGTGTCAGTCTTCCTGCTGCCATACCTGCAGCTCTTCCTCTTCCTGTTCTCATGTACTAGGGCCGACCCCCGAGCTGTTGGCTACTGCATCCTTCCTGTCTGCATTGCCCTGCTGTACAGCCGGCGCCACGCTGCCAAAGGGTTGGATCGCAAAGCCGGGTCGCTGATCGACACATAAAGGACAGGCAATCAGAGGGCCTTGTTGACAGAACAACAGGACCCCAGCACAAGTCTGTAACAAACATGTTTGTCTTGATGTTTGTGGTGTCACTTCCTGTGTGCCTTTCAATAATTTCATTAACACTCCAATGGATTTAAACATTCAACTTTGTCTATCAGGAGCTGTGCTCAACACTGACTACCAGGACCATCAGCACTTCCCCTCAGTGCGGACTATCATGATTGTCATTTTTTCGAACTGTCCATGATGTAAACCTTACAGCCTGTAGTGGCCAGTCATTTTGTGTTTTTTTTATTATTGTGATATTAGAGAGGATCCTGTGCTGTGATTGGTTGCCTTCTGTTCCATTTCTGTTTTCATAGCTTTTGTTTCATTAGCTAGCTGGAAATGTAAGTATCAGAACCAATATCATGCTTACCTGCAGTTACAAAAAAGAATGAAACTGCTTTTCTCACAGCTGCCACCCTAACAAAGAGCAGGATTCTCTGATTGTGGCACTTTTCTGTATTTAATAACTTGAGTAACATGACACACTGGTTATGAAAACTTTAATACATTAATAAAAAGGGGGGTGGGGAAGAAGCACAACGGCAGTCTCGTTTCTCCTCGGGTGTCTCTTCAGATCTTGTAGGTTTTAGTTCTTTTCGTTGGAGGTTGTGGTTCAAAGATTGGGGAACCCTCTGGCTCATCTTCTTCGTCGCTGTCCACTTTGTGTTCCTCTCCTGTACCAGGTAAAACAAACAAATCAGAATTATACTCTGTCCTCAAGAATGGCAGTTAACAGGACGTAAAGGGTGTACCACAAAGCAAGTTTGACATTGCCAGATTTTCTGTGTGTAAGCTGGCTGGACAAAACCTAAAGCCCCAGTCTGAGACAATTTGTGTCATCGATGGTGGTTACTTTATTTGTTAACTCAGGCTTTCTTCTTAAGACTGTGCACATTCACATAAAAGGGGAGAGGAATGCCAGTGGAAAACTGTATTTGACCACTTTTTGCCCTCTCAGTGCAGCAGCTCATTTCTAATGTGACAGCAGCACAGTCAAGCTCATGGACAGTAAACTTAATATGTTCAAATATGATACTGAAGAAGTGCAGTTAAGTCTGACACTGTCCCAAAATGTCTCTTTCATCTCTGGCCAAATCAAAGTAAAATTAATGGAACTGATTCAATGTTCTCTGTGATCAATACTAAGAGACGAATCAGTCTTCTAATCTGTGTTCTATCACCTGTAGTGCCTGCAGTGTAAAAGTCTTGGCAGCAAATTATGACCAAGTATAAAAACATATTTATGCATTTTCTGCATCACCAACTGAATGCACTTGCTGAAAATTATCAGGTAACCAACTGGTGAAAGGAGGATGCCTCATATTGCTTATTTGAATCCAAAGCTCTTAATATAAGCTACAGAGCACATAAGCGGTGCAATATAAGTTACAATAGAGATCTAGCAGTTTAAAAGAAAGGCACCTCCATGGCCCATCAATCTCACCATTATTCTTATTTCATAATAGACCCCTCAATGGGTGTACTACCTGCCAAGATTAAAGGGCATGCAAGGTATGTTGAGCTTAAAGCCAGTGTTACGAAGATGGCTCTCTTTTATCCTGGCCAGATAACCATGGTAAATTGTGCTGCACAGTTTACCTGCTGTGGAGAAGGTTATGTCTACAGTTTCAGATTTGAATTAACTGTAAGAAGCACCTCCCTTTCCCCAGTTGTTTTCCTTAAGATATTCTGTAGTGTTACATAGACTATCAACTGAAGAAATACATAATATCTGAAAACCTGTTAAGATGTATGTTAAATGTAGTAGGACAGGGTATTTTTGGCTTACTACATCTGATATGTCACATGCACTTTTTTTTTTCCTAGCACACTATACAGCACGGTAGTATAGATTTTGGAACACACTTCTTGTTTATACTCAAACGAGGAACGAAGACGTCCGGGTTGTTGGCGTCCTTTATTTCACATACTATGACAAATGTACATCCTTTTTTGCCACACTGTGTAGTATGGATGTACGGATATCGAAACGCACTCGTCATAAAAATGGGTGCTGAGACTGGTTTTCAGGTCACGGGCAGGATGTGGGTCCTTCTGTGGCCTGCAGTGACGTTAGACGAGACGTTTCTATTTTGCAGCCAGAAAATAATCATGCAACAAACACAAAATCGCGCCCCAGGCATGGAGCATGGGGCTCACCTTGTATACAATCTCCATGGGCGTTTTCCCGTTCCACTAGCTCACTGAGAAGCTGCGACACGCTTGCGTTCAGTTGGTTTAATCCGGTGATCAGAGAATTCAGATGATTGTCTACCTTGACGATGATTTCCTCCTTCTGTCCGTCCCTGAACTTCAGCTCTGCTAACACTCGTACCGCCATCACTATTACAGCCTCCTGCTGCCGTATTACGGCACAGTGTGGCATGTGATCTGCTCAAGTGTCGCTACAGTTCTTCGTTTTTAGTGTTTATCAGTGGCTGGCACACCAACTTTTACGTGCATTACCACCACCAAGTGGAATGGAGTGTGAAACAAGAGATTGTGGAGAAAATCAAAGCGAAAGAAAAAAATGATTATTTTAGCTATACCAGTTTCGGGCAAAACGTTTTAATAACTTGCAAGAATATGAGTTCTCTCATTAGTGTATTTACAGTACACATTTGTCTGTTTTTGCTTGGTCCCACCTTCCACATTGCTTGCCTGTTTTGTATATGGTTGAGACTGTATGATCTATTCTCAGATGAGTTCAGCCCACCTGTCTTCCATTTTTATAATAATCCCAACACGCCTGCCACACTGATTGAGCAATGTCCTAATAAATATTTTTAGCTTGCTTGATGGAACCTGTACATCAACAGACTTATTTCCTAATGTTTGTATGGCATGAATATCAGAATATCACTTTTCATCCACACCATATGAGCAGGAAACATCGCTGAGCTGTGGTGGAGTCACAGTCTGACCAGATTAACTTGTGATCGTATGTGGTGTCAGTCCGACGGTGAGACAGAAACACGTTCTAGTAGATGATCCGTTTGCAGATTTATCCCGACCAGACCTGAGTGTGCGTGTGACGATAAAGATACTACGTGAAGAAGACCTCGTCGACAAACGTGAACATCACTAGTTAATGAAGCCTATATCCATGTCAGTATCATCTACAGACAGCAAAACCAAACATGCTGACCAAAATAAAAAACACGTAT